GTCAGCGAGCTGCTGCGGGGCGACGAGCCGCGCCGCCAGTGGTTCCGCAAGCTGGCCGACTTCCGCCTCTTCCTGCCGCCGCGCCACTTCGAGGGCATCAGCGCCGCCTTCATGGACCGCCTGGGCCACCAGCTGGAGGACATGCTGCTGTCTTGCAAGTACCGCGGCGAGCTCTGCGGTCCGCACAACTTCTCCTCCGTGAGTTGCCCTCCGCGCGAACCGCTCCCCTGCTCCCCCTGCTCCCCCGCTGCCCGGAGTCAGGAGGCCCACTGTTCAGTCCTCAGGCTGGACGCCAGGGCCTTTGCGGTGGCAACACTCCGTGATGCCCAGGCGGAGCCCACCCTTGGGTGCCCTGAGTCTTCTCCTCCAGGTTGTGGGAACTTAGACTTAACTGCAGGAGGAGTCGCCTCACCCCAGTCCCAGCCCACTGTCCCCGCCTCTTCCCTTCCAGTGTCAGCCCTCCAAACCCTCACTCTACGTTATGGCCCCATTTGTGAATACTAGTCCCTCTTCTCCCCGACCACACCCCCAGGTCCACAGGACTTCAAGCAACTGCTCTGTGTCTTAAGTGTGGGCTTGTTGTTGTCTTTGGGAAAACTCGTGGGAAGCTTTTCAAAAATGGGCCCTCAAGAGGATCACGCAGAGTCCCTAAGCAGGCTTACAACCCTAAGCAGCTTACGGCTGCAGAGTTCCAAAGCATTTCAAATCTAGGGGGACTTAGGAGAAAACTCCCAGAATATTAGCCAACACTAAAAACACTGAGTCTTGAACATCCAGGGAAACTGAGCAGTGGTGGGCCAGGGTGGGGGCCTCTACCTGCCCTCCTCCCATGAGGTGTGAGTGGGGGTCTTGCAGTCTGGAGGCATGTCCTGAAGTTGGGAAAGCAGCCTGGCAGGGATGAGGATGCACGCAGCAGGCACGGGGAGAAGCTGTGCTCAAGAATTGTAAAGCATTTGCTGTGCTGGTTCCCCCATACTGTGGGTCTGGATAACGCAGCTGTCATACAGAAGGTATCTGCCTTGTGCAGCCTGCCTTGGAGGAGTCCTGGTGCCAGGCCCCAGCGTGGCGTAAGCCTGTCCAGCCAGTCGTGTGTAAAGGCGCCTTAGGTGGGTTTGGACTTTTCCACTAGAGCAGGGAAGGTTGGTGTGTGTTTTGGTGCTCTGATGGTGATTTTACCAGCTCTGATTTGTCACTCCTGACAGTCTCTGACAAAGCTTTTTCTGGGATGGTAAAGAGATGCCATGGTTCCAACAGGTGTTGGCATGATACCAGGCAGGCCAGGTCTCTGATTGGCTGATTGGGTTATTTCTGGTCCAGGAGAGCCACTCTGGCTTCTGGTTTTGCTTCAAGCTTGTATACACAGTAGCCCTGAATTATCCACCCCCCAAACATTCCTTGTGTTCTGAGCTTCTCAGCTGGCCTTTAAAGACTGTCTACCTGGTGGCTCCCTGCCTTGGCAAGTAGGAGTGCCATTAACATATGCCTCTAAGTGACTTCTTTCAGAACTTCAAGCACAATTCTGAGTTCCACAAAGGAGAAGGAAAGAGGGTAGTTATCCTTTATTGTTTATTGTTCTTTGGCTAACCACTAACTAGCAGCCTCTAGAGTTAGGTTTAAGTTCAAGTTTACATCCAAGTATCAACAGGCCCTAGCTTGAGCTCCAGGTTGTACAACGTGGCCCATCACATCTGATGACTGCTTTACAAAGTGTGTGAAATTACATTCTAACAGCCAGTTTTCACTTTTGATATTCACCACAACCCCATGTTAGCAATGAATTTTATTCTCATGAAGAAAATGAGGCTCTAAAAAGCTGTCCAATGCCC